GCGTCTCTTCGAAACGCCAAACGTCCTCGCCTCTCCGCTCGACGCTCTGCTTTTCCCTCTCTGTCGCACTTGAGCGTCACGCTGCGCTTCACTCCGTTGTCCGCCCGTTTTTAATTTCGGCCATTACCTTTAAATTATCCGGGCCGCCGGTTCGTCGAGTAGCCTAATTTTTATCGTCGCCGCTTGGAGGAGAAAAAAAGAAAAAAAAAATTTCGTCACGTCCCGCTGCCCGTTGCGAGTTCGATCGTGGTCACGGTGGAGGTCGAGAGATCGAGAGCCGACGGCAACCTCGTTCCGTCGATTAACCTCGAATCATCGTCGTCGATTCGTAATTACCGGGAAATAACTCAATAAGAGGCCCGGTGGGTTACGTGGCGCGGGCCGTCGATAAAATATCAATTTCGGTAATGGCCGGTGGGACCGGGCGGGATCTCTCGCGGCGGGCAACGAAAGCCAAAAGAGAGAGAGAGAGAGAGAGAGAGAGAGAGAGAGAGAGAGAGAACGGCGCGGAGGAAAGAATGTGCGAGAAGAGGAGAGGAAAGGATGATTTTGACGCCTCTCTTTCGCGGCAGCCTTGCGGTGTAATTACGTGGCTCGCAGAACACGGCGGTGGGTCCACCGGAGGCCCTTTAGCCCTCTTCTCCTCTCCTCTCCTCTCCTCTCCTCCTTCTCTTTCTCACACTTTCCTCGTGTACTTCGTTCGCCTGCCTCCATCACACCTTTCGACTTTTTCCACCATTCTCGATCCATTCGAAATTTGCCTAGGTGTTTCCACGCGAACGAACGAATGCTCGCGAGTCGCGGCTACGCTGGCGAGTAGCACGAGGAGGAGAAGGAGGAGGTGGAGGGGGCGGGTGAGATCGTTTGTAAATTTTCTGGAGCGAGGACAAAGAGGCACGATACCCACGGAGTCGCCGATCTCAGCTTGGTGTATGCTAATTTACCAAGAATCCCTCTTGCTCTTCTTCTTCTTCTCTCTTCTCCTTCTTCTTCCTATCCTCCTTGTTCCGTTACCGCCGTTGCTGCCGCTACCTCGCCTTCTTCTCGTTCGTCGAACGTTGGACAGAAGAATGAGTCGAGTCCTCGGATGACCAGGTGGTCCCCTGTTTGCGCGTACACACCCGAGTGCTCTCGACTTTTTCCCTCGCTCTGCTCCGTCTTCGCTCCCGATGATCTCGACGTCGAATCGCTTTAGCTAAACAAACCCGATCTCCTCTTGCCCGTTGGTCTGCGCTCGCGTCGTGCGGCCCCGCTCGACGATGGCCGGTGGCGGATCGATCGTAAAAACGCGCGTATCGTGGAATCGGGAGCGGATCAAGAGGCGGGGACCGACCTTTCGTTTTGACGCCTGAGCGGATTTTGCTCGACTGCTCGCAAGATATTTCCAATATCGTAAAACCATTAATTACAAAGTGGACCCCGGTGTCGGTATATCGGTTCGCTCTGCCTCCGAACCTTCTCTTCTCCTCCTCCTCCTCCTCCTCCTCCTCCTTCTGCTTCTCCTTCTCTCGTTCCTCTCGTTCTCCTGCCTTCGGTGTCGGTCCACTACTTAGGTGGCCGTTGCTGACCGGATGATGTATTTCGGCGTTTTTGCTCGACATTAATAACAACGTCTCTCGATCCTGAGCCGAGTCGCTTCGTTCCGTGAAAGGGCCACTTTCCTCCTCTCGGTTCATTACTGATACCGCTTTCCGTTCTCGGCCGATCGCTTTCCACTTGGTCGACCGTCCCCTTCGATTAATCGTCTCACCGCGCGGGATTTGTCCCGTGCAGAGAGACTGGCGTAACAGCGCTCGGCGCGTGCAACAGAGATTCTTCTCTTCGACCGAACGAAACCAATGAAATTTGAAATTTTTCTCCGCAAACATTTGGAGATCACGTTTCTTCGTTGTATCGTCGTGAAACGTGCGTGAGTGAGTCCTACAGTTACAGGAAACCTCACTGTAGCTGTGAACCAATCTCTCGTTCTTCGCGTAAAACGTTGGAGCCTAGAATAGCGAATCCCGGACGAGCGCTCGATGCGAACGAACTCGGATCCCGCGGCGGGCGAATGGAAAGATGCGGAGGAACGGAGGTAGAGATAAAGCTAGATAGGATAGGAATCTGGTTGTCGATGAACGCCTCTGAACACGGTGTACGGGGAATCGCGATCTCGTGCTTTCGTTCCCACAGTCGGCGGGGACGTGGATTCCGAAGGAGATTCCCTTTGCTCGTACCGCGGAAGACGGCCGAGAACGGGCGAAAAAGGGGAGCAACGGGCGGGGGGCAGAGGCGTATGCGAGCGGACGCGCGCTCGCGCGAGCCAATTCGGCCGAACGGGAGAGGATGGTGGGAAAGGAGGAGACAGAGAGGAGAGCCGAGAGTATTCGGCCGAGAGTCCTATAACACGCCAAAACACCGATAATTCGACCGTGTGGTCCCGAACGTCAGCCGATATTCTTTCCCACGAAGAGGCCCTCGGAAAGGACGACCACGTCCACAGGACCCGCCAAAAGGGATTCCTGCCATTCCGGCAGCCTGTGCCCCGGCGAACGCGCACGTTCACGACCCACCTTCCCTCCAATCGCAAAAACGATAAATTAGTTGATTTACTCGCCCGTTTTTTATCGGGAATAATTCCTACCGGAGGAGACGAGATCTCGCCGGAGTGGAAGATTAGGGCAACAGGAAGCACGCCGGACTTCTTCGTCCTCTTTCTCTCTCTCTCTCTCTCTCTCACACACACACTCTCTTTTCCTCTTCTTTCACCGTTTTCTTTTTATTCCACCTCTTTCTCTCTCTCTCTCTCTCTCTCTCTCTCTCTCTCTCTCTCTCTCTCTCTCTCTTGGTTCCCTTCCTTCATCTTCGTCTGCGTAACCGTTTACTTTAAACCTCTTTGCCGGGCTCCTTTTTTTTTTTTTACTCGGATCCGTTCTGTTGAAAGGCAAAGGAGTAGAAAGATAGCTAGAATCACTAATAATATATATTTATATATATACTGCTTTAATTTATTTCTTTCTGTACACGACCGTCTTCTATGAGAGCTGGACTCAAGGCAAAAAAAGACTAACGCATAACAACTGACTATCTCATCGACGATGGCGTTGTTGTCTCCTTTCCACACGTTCTTCGTCCCACGAAATTACCGATCTCTTCTCGTTTTATTGACTTTGTTAACGAAAGTCCGTCAGCGATGGGACGATAGAGGTAGAGAGGAGAAGAGGGGGAAGCTCCAAGGGTTACGAGAAATTGGACGGAACGATAAAATCGGACACGGGAAGGTGGGCGAAACGGCACGCGGCGCGTCGTGGCCGATCGCGCGTGGCATCCCTGATGGGACACTGTTGCAACGGTGTGTGACGCGCGAGGCAACTGTCTCTCGGGGGCCCCCGATTGTCAACATCGTGGACTGAATTTCGTATTCGCCGAGCATAATGAGCCCCGCTCGAAGAAGATGAATCCTCTCGCGAGACCGTGAGAGAACGTCTCGTCCGTCGTGGGCCACTTTTACCCACAGAGTTCGGCGTGTTTTTTCGAAACGCGCGCGCGCGCGCGCGCCGACTCCGTTCACCGAGACCTTGAACTCGCGCGTTAAACGGTACACACTGGCCGCGGTCGCTCGCGGCTTCCTCTTTCCCCTGTCGTCCTCGAGACAGTTCGAGAGCGACTTTCTCGATCGCGAGATCGCAACGTAACGCGTGGCGGGCGCAAGAAAAGATCTCGCGGAAGCGAAATCGACGCACAGCGGTCGAGATGGACAGAGCTTGCAGGGCAGAGAGATCCCCGGGAGATTTAGTCGAGCGAGATTTAGTCGAGTCGATCCTCCCTGGAAGATTCCGGAGCGTAGAACGAGCCACACGCGTGACGGTATGCGTAATAATAGTAAAACCGAATGAATCCGCCTTCGCGTCCGGTGCATCTCCGGCGCCGTTTTTCGGAGCGCAGCAGCAACAGCAGCGAGTAAAAAGGCCGGTCGAGCGAGGGAGGCGGTCGCGTTGCCGGTGCTCGAGTGATCGTGATGGAGACGAGGGGGTGGTCGGTCGAGATCAAAGGCGCCGCCGTGAGAAGTGGCCCGGCTGCTCGAGATTCTTGTCTGTCGAGACGTTGGGAGCTGCTAGCGCGCGCGCGCGCGCAGCAAGAATTTGTTTTAGCGTTTTTCGCGGCCAACCTACCCTTCCTGATGCCACCTAATTCCATCGCGCGCTCTCGCCAGAACAACCCTGCCTCTTGGCGAATCGATCGCTCGATCGAGAACCGACCGACCGACTCGAGGGGAGGGTCGACCGACCGAACGTTCACCGGATCTCTCTCGATCGTGCTCGATCGACGCGCAGAGTCTCTCGGAATGCGCTTACAAGTGGAAATGCCGATCGTTAGGAAAGAAACGGGAGAAAGGGACACCGGGTGCAAGTGGTGAGAGGGGGAGTGTCGGAACCATTAGCGCGGATGCCTGTTCGTACGCGGTCAGAATCCTTTTATCCCGGTACAGAGATTCCTGCGGGATTCCTTCGTTCGTTATCATCGCGTGCAACGCGCGGCCGAGGAGAGGCGAAACAAGGCAGCGGAGACGCGGTGGGAAGGGACAGGGGCGATGGGAAACGGTCGTGCAAGAGAGACGAGGGGAAGCGGTCGACGAAGAGTCGAACCAGTCCTCTCGGAGGCACCGCGGCCTCCCACGATATTCGCCCGGTTGAGGAGTTATGAAGTCGTCCAGCCGGAGAACCAGTCGGCTGTGTCTCGCGAGGATAGTCCGCTCGCGCAACACCGTCGAAGCGGTGGATGTAGGTAGGTAGCCTCGCGGGGAGACATCGTCGTCGTGTTCGACGACGAGGACGTCGTGTGAGCAAGTCTTGAAGGTCGTGTGAGGCAAGAACAACGCGCCGACGAATCCTTCAACTCTTTCGTAGTCATCTTTATTTTCTCTTCTTACACGTCCATTTTTTTTTTTTTTTTTTTTTTTTTTTTTTTAAATTTAAAAATTTTAAAAAAAGAAAAAAAAAAAAGGAAAAAGAAAAGTCTACTATGCGTTACAGGTGTCGTAAATTATCGTTCTCTCGCTCGGGGATGGAGGTCGAGACGTTCGACACGGGGCTAATGGTTTCTCTAATTCTACGGGACAGGCTCGCGCGAATCGAGCGGCAAGGATCTAAGAGGGAGAGTGTGACGTATATAAAAATAATTTACTCGTACCTCGCGGTGCGTTCGCTTCGTTTCCACGGCGTCGATTATTTACAACGCGGTCTTCAAAAAATATATATTTATATTTATACATTTACATATAAATCAGCGAATTTACGCGTTATCTACGGTCTACGAATATATATACAAATACGCGATCCGAAGGGTCGGAATAAATAACGAATCTAACGAGCCTCGCGGTCGCGCGGTGTCTTCTCCCGGGGAAGGGAGAAGGCGACGCGATTTCGAAGCGAGACGGGAAACAAGAGGGATTGTCGTATGTACAGCGTGCGCCGATTATTACGTCTAACTGTTACTAACGTCACTATCGCGATCCGATAACGATCCCTCGCACCGTCTCAGTCTTTAGTCCACGTGTAGTCCGTGGAACGTCGTAACAAATACACGGTCTCTCGATCGGTTTCGCGTAATACTGGGCGACAAGGAGCGGCTCGATCTAATTCGGCAAGCTTCGTCACGCGACTCGGTCTCAACCTGTAGACGGGTGCACTGCAGTTCTTCGCGGTAGAATCACCTGGACCACCTTGTCCCGACAACGTAGTCAAGAGAGACTACGAAAACGTCCTTCGCCAGGAAGGAGGTAGTCTCTTCGAGAGGCAAAGGGACGAGAAAAAGCACAGAGCCTAGAGGCACGTGTGTACCGTCTTCTTGATTCTGCACAGCTGACACTTGACCTCGCAACACCAGTGAAACGTGCACGCGCATCTCTCGACCACCGTCACCTCTTGCGTCTTGTAGCCTCTGCCGCAGCACATCAGGTCACAGCCGTCGACACCGATGCTCGTGTCGTTGCACTGTCTGCCGTGTGTCCCGAGAATGCCGAGTTTCGGATTCTTCTCGCAGAACGGCGGCGATGGCTCCAGGTAAACGAGGTCCTTCGGGCCCGGCGGCTTGTGCTCCGGATTGTACGGCTTCAGCTGAAAGTTGTACCGGTGTCGACGACCCAGACCCTCCCGATGGCCGTGCACCGAGTTGCTCGCCGAGTTGCTCACGATCGCGTTTCCGTTGCCACGCACCCGGTCCGAGTTGCTCACCATGACTCGCGACGCGCCGTCGAATCGATCCTTTAGGTTGTCGCCGACCACGCGGAAATTCGGCAGCCTCATCCAGCAGGTCTTGACAGTGCAGGAGCCGGACATGCCGTGGCACTTGCACTCCTGTCGCATCTCCGACGACACGTGCTACGACCGATGAAATTTCAATGTTAGTTACATTCGCCGACTTCTCTTTCAGATTTGCTAACAGCTCGAAGAAATATTCTTCTCGAGATAATACGGGGTGAATGTCTTTCGAAATTTCGTAAACTAAAAACTTGGTTCTTGTAACGAAGTTAGAGTCGCTACGCTGTCCCATTAAATGCAAAGAGGCGTAAAGAGTTCAAGCTGCTCCAAAGTTTAGATGTCGGAACTGTTAGAATGTAACTGCCAATCTATACGCGTACATGTTAAGCGTATCAAAATGTGAGAGTTGTACATGTGTGTTGACATGGGTGATGACGACATTCAAAGACTTACTTTGCATATACGGTCTGTACAACGAAGAAAGTTTCAGAAAGAATAAACTTAGTGGACAAGTAAACAAGTACGTATAAAAACTAAAATTTAACTGAGACGTTATTAAAAGTAACACTCTAAGAATTAATATTCCATTTTAATATAAACTAATAAATTCCAACAACAACAATTCACGTAATCGCGAAGAGTAGAAATAAAAAGCCGAGGGCGACGAGTGAAGTATTTCCCTCCAGCTCTCGCGTTCGTCCCTAAAAAAGACGAGAGAGAAACTTACCGCTCTGCCGGCTTCGTTGTTGTGCAGATTCATCTTCTCGCGCAGATTTCGGCCACGCTCTCCGGTGTCGACGAATTCACGGGAGAACTTGAACCCGTAGCCGATGTTGTCCGAGCATCCACCCCATTCCCAGTCACGCGTGGTGGACGGTGCCCGCGATTGATGCGTGTAGTCGCAGGAGCACGATTGGATGCTGCCCTCGCTGCACGCTCTCGCGATGCTGTGCGTCACAGACGCGCTCGTGATGGCGTAGATGAAGGCGGTCTCTCGACAGCCTGCAACCATGCGACAACAGTGGTTAAACACTCGGGATCGTTCCTCCCATTCGTTTCGTTTCGTTGATCTGTCCGGATCTGATCGGGCCGGAAGCGCATCTCTGGAGGGAGTTGAAATTGCGCGGCCGATCGAGCGGAGGGTACTTTCGCGATACGACGGTGGTCGAGAACGTGGGAGGCGAGCGATGACGTCAGCGGGGAACGTCTCAATCCTTGGTCGTTCGCGTGGGCTACCTGCTTCGCGTGCGAGAAAAAAGAGAAAGAGAGAGAGAGAGAGATCACAGGTGTGCAAAAGGAACCCACGACAACGACGACGAGGACGACGACGACGACGACGACGATGCAACCGAGGGAGAAGAACGATCGCCACGAGATCTACCAAGCTGAGGCAAGAACGGACGAGAAGAGGAAAGAGGAGAGAGAAAGGGAACGCGACCTTAACCCCGAGTGGGCTGACCCGAGAGGCACCTCGACGTTATCTGCATGAGGCGCAGGTGCCTGCCAGCCGGCACCTTTTGCGGCCAGCCGACCATCCGAGGAGCTCCGTTTCGCCAATCGCCACCTCCGTAAGATCGCGGACCGATGACGCTGGGATTATCGTGTGATGTTCCTCTCGGCGAACGTGTCGACACGTGTAGCCGAGGCAAGAGGAAGGAACGAGCAGGTCGAAGGAGGATCCTCTCACGAGGAACAAAAGTGAGACGTCAGACTGTCTCGGAGGGAGAGTGGAGGAGAAGAAACCGGTATTGAAGACGTAATCGAGCGCGTCAAATTTCGTCGAGCCAGATCCGAATTCGTCACGAGTTTCCGCGCATAGCTGTCACGCGTTGGCCTGCGAACGGGGACAAAGGAGAGAGAGAGAGAGAGAGAGAGAGAGCAAGGATTTTCCTAATGCTCGAGTCCGAAGACCGGAGGCGAGAACGATCGACACGAGCGAGGAGGTCCCTTTCAGCCTCGAGACAACGGTCACGACGAACGGCCGACGACGATAGAACGCAAGATTTACAGTCATTCTTGTTAATATTCGGACATCATGCTATTCAAAATATTGTTGTGGACTTTAATTGTTTGTAATAGTATAAGTTTGGATTAATTTTTTAATAACACATTAGAATATTCGTTATAGTTTATAGTAACATAAATTTTATTTATTTATTGCATATACTTCTCTTAATATCAAAGAATAAACTGAATTATGCCGAAATGTAGCGTGGCAATAATATTCGGACATTTGAAGAACTATAATATTTGAACTTGAAAATTGTTACATATCGCAGACGCTTAGGCATATTTCCAGTAATTTTTTTTTTATTAAGTAATTTAGCGAGATATTCTTCCATTTTTCGATTAATCGTTGTTTCAACTCCTCTTTCGATTTATTGGCGTACGACAGTTGGTCGTAAAATTAAGTAAGAGTACCGAGTACTTCCTACCTGTACCCCCGAAAATTTCATCTGTTCCGGGATATTATTCCTCGTCATCTCCGACTGCCATGACCGAAAGGTCATTACACGGCTGGCGGGAGTTTCTCCTTGCGAAAAACGTGTTCTCACGTTGTCAACGATGAAGTCATCTCCGATACTCGGAACGTTCGTCGTTCTCATAATTGTTTTTCGCCCACGATTTTACGATTGTCAAACAGCCGACACTGGCTGTGAAGAGAGCGATAAGAGAGCGAGAAAAACGGACGAAAAATCGTTATCGAGCGGAAGAATGGAACGAAATGCTTGACGAAAGGAAACAACGCGATGAAGCGAAAAAGAAAGCGCGACCAATGCAGGGATAATCCCTGGGGACGTTGTTTGTTCTTGTGGACGAGTAGCGTACGACCACGTCGTTCGTCGAACGATAAACGGTTTGACGTTCGCTTTATCGGTCCGTGCAAATAGAACGAACAAGGTGGAGGCACGGCTCGTTACCGTTGAGCAAACAGCCGGTCGCATCGCTGGAAAGTTCTGGCTCGTTCGCTCAGGCTCGATCGTTTTCGGTGACCTGTTCGGCAACCTGTGGAGAAACATTGGCAACGTGTCTGTCTGTCTGTCTGTCTGTCTGTCTGTGATGATCGCGATTTTGCAAAAAAAAGAAAAGAGAAGAAAGGAAAGGAAAGGAAAGGAAAGGAAAAAACGGACGCAGAACAAGGGAGTTCCGAGAGACCGAGAGATTCTTCGGTCTGCGGGATTAAAAAAGGCGTCGACGTGGAGATCGAGTCGAGTGACATCGCGACGCTGTCCGCTTTACGACGGTTGCCTCGCGACCGTGCTGAAATTCCACAAAGATAACATCGCCCGGAAATTATTGTTACCGCCGCGGAGATTCTTGGTGGTGGAGGAAGCTAGACGACGATCAAGACAGAAAGAAAGAGAGAGAGAGAGAGAGAGAGAGGCAGAAAGAAGAAGATGCAGAGAACGCGTTGCGGGTTGGTCGAGAGTAGAGGAGAACGTCGATCCTCGAAAAACTGCATCGACCGGCTCGCGTCGCTTGAATGCAAAAGTGGTGCGCACGGTGGTGAACGACTATGGGGAGGGGGGTGCGAAAATGCGATCGCCATATAGGCCGCGGACTGCCGCGGGAACTCGTACCGGACGCGAGCGTGGAAGCAAACAAGATGTAAAAATCACGGCGGACCGATGGGGACGACGGGCCCATTGGCTCGCGGCTCACGTTTTCGCAAGAAATCGTGGCGTGCCGTCGACACATGTAGCCCATCATAGGCCGCGATTTATGGCGGCGTAACGCCGTCGTAAAAACCCGATGACGAGTCTCCGTATAAGACGCGACGCTCGCGCGCCACGCCGTTCATCCGATATCGATCGCGAATTTCCCCTGTAAATGGCCTCCCTACCGATCGCCTCCCTCTCTTTCTTTCTCATTCTCTCTCGGTCTCGCGAGTTCGTCCGAGCACACCGGATGCACTGGATTTCTGGCGCGAATCTCGTTCGAATCACCTTCGTTTCTCGAGCGTTTCCAAGCGATCCGACGCGAGATCCGTGAAATCGGGGGAAAACGCGAAATTCGCAGTTTATCGAGCAATTGGACGAGTACGGGGCTCGGCAGTGGTATCCACGCGAGGCCGACACTTCGAAACGAGAGAGAGAGAGAGAGAGAGAGAGAGAGAGAGAGAGAGAGAGAAAATAGCGTAGCCGGAGGGGCAGCGCCAACGAAACTGAGGGCAGACACCGATGCGGTAGGTGGCTCTCGGCGGCGAAATGATTACAGGCCGCGAACCTACTCACTACCAGCTATAATGTCGAGTACAAACGCCTCCAAAAGTATCCGCGCGACTCTTTCGGGCTGGACACGCGCGGCGTGTTCGAGCCTCGAGGAACGGACGTTACCGAATCGAACGAAATCCCTATTCACGATCACGAGAGGAATTGAAAGAGAGACAGAGGAGAAAGGGAGGGGGGAAGGGGATGAAGAAGAAAGGATAAAAGACGAGAAGAAAAGCACACGCGTCGGGTGTAATCGCTCGACCCTCTGCATAATCCGGAAACGACCGTTTAGGTCGCCGCGCGACCACCAGTCTGATCCCCTCTTCGATCTCTCTAAATACGACGAGTACGCGACGAGTATTACGTATCGGAGATAGCGATCTGCGAATTTTGCCCCGCGCAGATCTAATCTCGGGTGAAACGAACGGAGACGCACTATCGTTTCGAAGGGAGAAACCGGTCTCGTTCGACCGATCGAGCCCTGTTCGGTAATTGATACGAAATTTTGATCGTTTCTCGAACGAAATTGTCGTACGACAATTCAATTCCGTCTCTCTCTCTCTCTCTCTCTCTCTCTCTCTCTCTCTCTCTCTCTCTCTCTTGAGACGAGAGGAACACAGATCGTTTCGATGCGCGTCGATGCGTGGCGTCGCGCCAGCGTTACGGGTTACCGATGCTCCGATCTCTTGCGTCCCGCTATTTCGTATCCTGTGCTTCTTTTTCGGTTTCACCAGCGCGATAAGTGGCCATATGGGGACACCGAACGTAATAGGGCGGCAGCGGGTCGAGCGAAAAAGCTCAGCTTACAATCGCCTCGACGAGATCTAAAAGAGCCGCAGGGGAGCGAGAACTGGTACGAGAAGGTCCATTATCAGGTTGCAAAACATACATCTGGCCGGCGAGGGCACGTGCCCGGAGTCTTCGGACCAAGGGCACGCCCCTTTCGATCCCCTCGTCCCTCTACGCGATGCTTTCGATCCACACCCCACCATATTCCACCGGTTTCCGCTGCAACCCTCCCGAGCAGACACCCCCCTGTCGTCTTCGAATGGATCTTCCGGTCCAGTCGCTTCGACCATCCCCGTTTCCAGCCGCCGAATTTCAAATTACGGCCGATCTTCGCGGTTCCGTCCAGTCCGATTACCACCTCCCCCCTCCCTCATTCGTCGTTTGATCTCTCGGTCGTTTCCGGACGAAATCACACCGCGCGTTTTCGCTCGAGATCGAGGAAGAATTGGATCGCTCTGGATCGCAGACGACCGTCCCGTATCCGTGACCGATTTACGCTACGACGAAATTAATCGCGTACTAACTAACGAACCGTAATCCAATTACGCTTGTACCTTAATTACACGGTTGAAGGGTTAGGCTTTTTACGGTGCTTCACGAATCGATCGACTAACGATATTACCGGCGTTGAAACTCGACCACTTTGTATAGGTTATTCGGCGATCGGCCGCCACCAGACGATAAAGCCCCGCCGCGCGAGTCGACGGCGACGAAATCACGGATTCCGTCGACCGCGATTTCATCGGCCGTTCGTTCGCTCGTCGTTTTCTTTTTCTTTCTCTCTCTCTCTCTCTCTCTCTTTCTCTTTCTCTCTCTCTCTCTCTCACTCTCTGTCTCTCTTTCGATCTCTTTCCACGAAATCTCGTCTCCTGTAAATCTCTATCGGGGAATACCGGTTGTCGCAGACGAGCACGGACAATGGGCTGTTTTTTGGAACGTGGAACGAGTCCACCTTATGGTCCGTTATATACATGTATATATGTACGTGCCGGTTTTATCGCGAATCTCGATTCTTCACGGATCTAGCCTCTTTCGAGTGAAAGAGATAGACAGATAGAGAGAAAGAGAGAGAGAGAGAGAGAGAGAGAGAAAGAGCAAAAAATGAAAGGAGACTTGAACGTTCGCTAATTTCACGATCGGCCGCGACAGTATCGGTTAAAGAAACCAAAGGTTTCATATCTTTCCGATGCCAATTAGCGAGGCTCGCGCCGCTGATAATTTTCGAGCGGCAATTAACGAAACGGCGGCGGATTGGTTGGAAAGCCGGCGATTGGTCGGCTCGGTTGGGAAAAGTAGGGGAGGAGGCAAAGAGAAAGGAAATTCTCGTGCTCACCTCTGTCGACGATCCTGCCAAAGAGGTTTTTCCCACGGAGGAAATTCTTGGTCGAGCAGTTCCATCGGCGATTGCGAAACTGATGCTGGCACTCGGCGATCGCCTGGTTCGCACCTCTGGCCACGGCCATCAGTACCCCGGGATTTTCTCTGGCCAGCCTGCGCTGCTTTCTCCTCAAGGTCGCGTACACCGTCGGATCCATGTGAAGGGAGGCCGGCGACATTGGCAAAAAATTATTCGGCTCCCCTGCCTTGGCGATTCCCCTGGGGAAGAAAAGCGAACGGATCGCCTCGTTTAGCATCTCTCTGCGTTCTTCGCCCCTTCGTGTTTGTCGAAGTTCGATAAAAAAGAGTCGAGTTCGGCCGTCCTCTCGAATCTTTCGATCGAATCCTTCTCAGGAGTGTACAGTGGCGGACAAAAGAGAGTTTGGAACATACAACGAGAGTCAAAAGTGAGTACGATGCTCGGAGATGACAGACGAGAAAATATACCGTGTCGTGGTGGAAAATTCGGAGAATCTTGATATGGAGAGTTAATCATCCTCCGTCTCAAACCGTAATAATATCTCCGTTATATTCCGATGGCATCCGAGAGATCTGTTTTATGTCTGTATATACGTGTGTCTTTACGCGTGTTTGAAATGCCATAAATATGCTCCAATTTTCTTATTTTGTTAATACACAGATACACACTTTTGACTCTTATTGTATCCACTGGTAATAATTTGGTAGTTTTATTCTGGATGTTCTTTTCATCCAAATTAATGGCAACTATACTTTGTCGTCTCTTTTTAACTCTAATTTCACTTTATAAAGTAGTAGGTTTTGCAACAAGAAGGACGCAGTCCCACTGTTTGTACATTTTTTTGTTGCGTATCCCGTTCCATTAAAAACTTGTGATCTTTCGCTTGATCTGAACGGAAGTTTGCTGCAAGTAAAAGTCTATCAACTTGAATACCAGTTGATCAGAAATTGATCAGTTTCATTTCTTCGTTTTAGTAAACCCGTTGGTTTATTAAAATTATACGAAAATGGAGCTCTGCGCCTGCTCCATTGCGACGACCCCCCTTTCGATTACGGAGTATCTCGCGTCTTTTGCTTTTAAACGTTTCTTCTATCCGTCGCTGTGTACAGTAATGATAAACGAGGAGGGGGAGCGCGATCGAGAGACAAGCCTGGCCTAGGAAGTTGACAGGAACCGCGCGAAAGACGCTCTTTCAAACATTTTGACAGCGAACGATTCTACTCGTCCCACGGGACGCTTCATCGCCAGTTATACATATGTATGTACGCGCGCACGTGAAACCTCGCACGTGCGCGCGCGCGCATATACACACACACACACACACTGCACGGAATCGTGCGAAATAGCCCCGTTACGCGATTCACGGTCGAGATCGCGTCATTGACATTTCTCGCGCGTTCGCTCGACGCTAATTTGGTTTACGCGTAAAAACGGTACACCGAGAGAGTGGCCGGGAGCAGGAGAGAAAGAGAGATAGAGAGAAAATGGACGAAGATGGAAGCGAGATGTAAAGACGGGGGCAGGTTGGCGAAAGGGGGAAGAAGAAGGAGCACGGGGAAGGATTAGTTCGAAAGACGAAACTGGTTCAACAGTTTCGGTCAACGGTAGCCCCGGCGTATATATAAATCAAGCTGCCGCGCGAGTTCTGGCTGCGAAAAAATTCGCGTTCTCGGATCGATCGAGCGTCGCGCAAGAAAAACGCTCGGAGAGCAACGGGCACTCTGCCCGTTCGTGTCTCCGTTCGCTCGTGGGAAGAACGTGCAAACTTTCGGGGAACGGACTTTCGATCGTGCGTGGGATCGGGGGGGCGAGACGCGCAGCCGCGTTTGGTTATTTTTTTTTTTTTTTTTCAGCGGTTCAGAATGGAGAGCGCGCGTTTCGCGCCGTGCACTCGCCGTCCATTCGAAAAATAGCTCTCGCGCCCGCTGGGATCGGATCTCTCGTCGCCGCGCGCAATAAACAGCTAATCACCGTCTACGAATCTCCGTCGACGAGTCCGTTGTCAACGACGTTCGTTTGCTTGACGGCTAGCAGAGACAGGGCGGCCGCGCGCGATGCCACCGCCGCGAAAACCCAGCACCGGGTGGCTGAAGCCAGAGATCCCTCGTTGACACGCTCGCACCCCAGTGTAAATAAACGAGATCACGATGCAACGTGCTCGTAAAAGCAGCGAGAGCACGCGGAACATCCTGAAACAGGCCGCTCTGCTGGCGGTCACTCGACGACGCGATCTCACTCGATTTTTTTCCACTCTCTTCTTCCCTTCTTCGATCACGCGGCAAAGACTCGAGCCGAAATCTTGGTGCAATCTTGGTCGCGCTCGCGATAATTACTCCGAGAGGTCGGGAGAAGATGCCGAGCGCGAGGCGTCATCGCGCACGACCGATACCTCGCATCCTTTTTCATCCCGGTTTTCCTCGTGAATCTTCTACTTTCGTCGATGCGCGAAATTCTTGCGGCGCGCAAGAATCCGCTGGCCACGAATCCGCTCGCTCGCTCGCTACGTTTATACGATGCGTTCGATAAGCGATGTCCATAAATAAGCCCGCGCTCCGGACCGGTTAGGATATATCTATTGCTTGTAATTTACGTCGGGCAGAATGCTCAGGGACGACTCTGGACGATCCTGTCCCGGTTCCTGCTGCCACCCTCCCCTCTCTTCCTCTCGCCCCCCGTTCCCCTCCCCCGCGCCTCATCCCGTCTAGCTTGTCCACGTGTTTTCTGCCAGCGGACACGCCGCAACCAACGATGAAAATAATTTATCGACCGGCGAAGGGCTAATAACGATCCGGTGCCACGCGCTCCCAGTGACAAAAGGCTATATTAAATTCGCGCGATTATCGCTGAGTTATTCTCTCTCTCTCTCTCTCTCTCTCTCTCTCTCTCTGTTCCCCTTCTTCCCGTTCTTCGTTCGATTCGCGAGAATTGTCGGATCGGCAGTCTTGCTCGTTCGGCTGACAATGAGAGTCATCGAGCGATCGAGTCGCGTTAGGCAATTCCCAATCGCGATTGCGCGCCGCGAGCCAGATTGAAACGTTGACCGGTAACGATTTGAAAGCTTCGTTTTGCGGCTACCGTCGCTGTCGCGAATCGACGTTGTCGATTTTTCGCACGATAACGCTAGGCCGGTCGATTGCAAACCCGGGGACCACCCTGAATCGACTGTCGCGCGTTTCGCTTTGGCGGGATCGGGCGCTAACGCGATAAGTGATCCCCAGTTACCGGCGAATATATTATCGATCCGCCGGCGATATTTATCGAGCGGACGAGACGAACGAGACCCGCCGACGTAAATCCAATCCGAAAAGTCAATCCGGCCTTTCGCTGGCACGTTCCCGACGATAAATTACAGGCTGGCTGCGATATTCGATGCCGGCGTGTCGTACGCGTCCGCGCGAATTCACCGTCGGCATTAGATTAATTAATTCGTAGGTAATAATTACCGGCGCGTCGCGGCGGACGTGCGCGGCGGTTGCGTTAAATCAACGCGGCTGGAAAAGCAATCGGGGCTCGGCTGATTTATCGCCGACACTTTATCGTTACGGGGATACTTCCGCGGCTATCTCTTTCGGTCCTGAGCCGAGCAACCGCGCACGCACGCACGCTCGCGCTCGCTTGCTCGCTTGCTCGCTCGTCCGCTCGATCGTGCACCGCCGACATTATTTATTACCCGGCTAATGAAGTTAGCCATTATCTAATATCCATCCAGCGTTTTCTTGTTCCCCGGCGACGTGCGCACGCTTGAACCTATGAGAAATTATTGGCGGATTGAAACGAACGAGCCGAGGCTTATGATTAATGAATTAATAAGAAGGCGCGCGAGTGTCGCTGCCACTGGTTGGCTCGGTGGAAGACGCGAGACAGGTGTTCTGAACGCAGCTCCCCTACCGGTAATTAACCCACCGAAATTTAATTACGCGCCAACGCCAACCAACGCCAATCGACGATCGAGATCGATCGCGTCGATCTTGTCACGCTGTCTCTTTACTTACCACCACATCGATCCTCTGCCGCGGTTCTTGTTCCTGGTGATTTCGGCGATGGACGCGTTGATCGCCACCGCCAGAGCGCCGATGACCACCCAGAGTCTCATCTTCCGTTGGCGATCGGATGACAACAGCGGCGCGGACCTGCTTCTCGCGATTCTGCTTCGTCGAGACCTTTGTCGAGCGGCAAAACACCACGCACCAACGCTCACTCACCGGATTAGAAACATCACACGATACTCGTCGTCGGGAACGGTGTCGCGCACATAGTAGAAACGTCGAAGGGTTCGTCGTGGACACACTCGTGGACCGAGGTCGAGAGACGGGGATGAACGCTAGCCGAATAATCGTTTCGATCAACGAGCGTCTAGATCATCGTCGACATCGAGGTGATTACTGGAGAAATCTCGCCAATTCGGTGAGATCGGAAAAGAGGGGAACGTTCAGAGGGGCCCGGGGTGTCTCGATAGTAGTAGGATGCACGAAGCTGGATACGTAGGATGTGTAGGGTCAGTTGTCAAAGGCGGCGGTATATACTAGCTCGATCGTAAGAACCGTAACGCCGTTCGTCGAGCGACTGTAGTTGGTAGAACGGACCGGGTGACGTCGACTGCCGGAAACTCACCCCCCGAAGGGCTTTTTTCGAGGGGTGGGTGTGTCACCCTTGCCGAGTTCTCGCCGAATCAGAGGTGGTGGGAGAGGCACACTGAAGCCGAAGGATACCTGGCAACCTTCCTCCGATGCTTCCTGTTGGGATCTTCTATCGGGATCAGCTAATAATGGAGTTGTCGAAGGCAGGCTGACAGCCTCCGAAATCGTTCGTCGTCCTCGTTGTCGTCGCGTATATCCGATCGTTCCCTTTTGTCCCGTTTCTTTCGATCTCGCGCGAGACTAGCGTTGCGAGACGCAGCAGCAGCAACAGCAGCAGCAGCAGCAGCAGCAGCAGCAAACGTCCTCCTCCTCCTTCGGTGTTATCGCGTATCGAGAGGGCGAGCTGAGAGTGCGTGACGAGTGCGCGCGCGCGAGCGATCGATCGATCGACCGATCGGCCGATCGAGCCAATGAATCGACGAACCGGCCAAGGGACCAACGAACGAACGCGTTACGTGCAAGCGAGCAGCGAGCAAACGAGCGTCGACCCGCGAGAGAACGCGCCAAGGGGAGACTCGTCGTTTCCTTCTCTTTCGCTCGGTCTCGGGGGGTACGGTACCGACTTGGAGAACCAATACCCTTCGACGGACAAGTATAGGCCTCGGCTAGCGACTGCACGCGCTCCTCCGCGGAAGAGCCGATCTCTCTTCAGAGAGAGAACGGAACCGTCTCCCCTCTCCACCCCAAGGCTTCTCTACGCGTCTCGTTTCTTCTCCCCCCTAGCTGGCTCCTGCCTTCTCTCTTACTCCGCTAAGCGTCGCGCTTCCTCCTTCCTTTCTTCTCCGCGCTTCTCTTCGCTACTCTTCGCTTCTCTTCTCTTCGTTTCGCTTTGCTTCTCTTCGCCGGTCTTCTCCGCTCTTCGCTTCCTCTTCTTTTCCGTTTTCCTCTCTCCTCCGTCGTTCGACACAACGCCAGCGGCAGCGGCGCCCGCTTCCCCTCGATTGCTCGCAATCGCTGGACCCCCCAACGCCGATCCAATCTCGCCCCGCCTCTCTTCGTCCGATCCCTGCCCTTCTTCTTCTTCTTCTTCTTCTTCTTCTGATTTTTTTCTTCGTTGCTGCTTCTCCGATTTTCCCCAGCCTCCACCTTTTTTCCTTCCCCGACTCTACGTTTCGTTCTTTTCTTTTTTCCTCTTTCTTCCCGCCGTGCGTCGGAGTCACCTTCGAATCACCCTCGACCGAACTACTGTCCGTCTGTTCTCGAAGATCGTCTCCTCTCGCTTCCTGGACATACCGATCGACTCATCGAGAGATAGGGCGCGAACGAGGAAGGACTAAGAGTCAGTGGTTGGCAACATGAGCGTCGGTCATAAAGCGGAAGGATTAGCGAACGTTTCTCCACGAGGGTTGCTGGACCACGAGTGAAACCAGCAGGTTCTCTCTGGCAGAACCGTCTCTCTCTCCTCTCTCTCCTCCACGTTGACGAGCACGTGGCTTTCAAGGGGAAATGGCGGGCGGTCCTTATCAAGGCCACGCCTGTCGAGTTCCCCACCACGTTCTTCGTGGTCATCGCGCAACTTTTGTCGAAGCTCTCCCACTCTCTGAAAACCTTCCCAGATATCACCCTCTCTCTCTCTTTCTCTCACTCTCTTTCTCTCTTTTTTTTTTCTTCTCTCCCCCTACTATCTACTCTATCGTTTCTCTCCCCCTTCGAGCTGAAGTCGAGTAGTAACACGAACGCCGCGACGCTCTCTCACTCTCAATTCTCCCACCGTCTCTCGCCGTCCGTCCTCCGGAGCGTCTCTCCTTTCTCCTCTTTTTTCATTCATACGTCGAGAGGTTCTCGTTCTCTTCTCTTCTCTCTCTCTCTCTCTCTCTCTCTCTCTCTCTCTCTCTCTCTCTCTTTCGTTCGTTCCTTGGTTCCCCTTTGGCCGTCGCAGCTGGTTCGTCTCCGTTCTTCGGCCCGCTTCCGTCTCCCCCGGCTCGACGTCGCGAGAATGCACGAATCGAAAGGTGGTGGTGCACATGCGTGTGTGGGAACGTGGCTCGGAATGCGAGAAGAGAAGCGCGCCGCGCGTACCTATGGATCCGCGGAGCCGGCCCGCGACCGTAGTTTTTTTCATCGGTCCGCGAATTCCGTCAGCGTCGGTGGAAAACGCGGAGGACTGAGGAGCGTGGTCGCTTATGGAAAACGAAAAGAGTAAGGGGTTTGTGCCTACCGATGTAAAATGAAGCTGATATCACCGGGGCCGCAGTACAATAGTTTGCGCGAGAGTTGAAGATGTTAGGTGTACCGGGGAGGTGAAAGAGTAGGGGGCGTCTGTCTCCCCCGGAGTCGAAGAAGACTCACAATTCTTCGTTAAAAAATACACTAATTTCATCAGTTTGAACGAAAACTGTGTGAAATAACTCCCGAGACAAAATATATTTCGAACCTCCAACTTTGAGGGTAGTTTTACCCCTTCGACGTCGACGATCGCCAATAAAAGAAAAAGAAAAAAAGATACGTGTCAAATACTTTTTCCGAAAACTACAGTTATGCCAAGTTTCAAATCAAAATCGGTGATTGACACGTTAGCGGTATGTGCACCCTTGTTAGTGAATACATGGAGATGTAGGAGACAGGGACAAGACAGATCAGATCAGAAATTGTATATTTAACTTGATCTGTCGATAGACGAAGATAAATGTTCTCAGCTAATGGTGAAGTAACTAATGGGAAGCGTAGGAGTACTAGTCTCTCCCTCCTCCACTCTCCACACACACACACACGTGCACACGCACAATTGTATCGCAATGCGAGCGTTTATGGCGAAGCGGCGAGAAGAAGGCGCATTACGATACATTAGTTCGATTTTACCGCGTTGCTCGGTTCGCCGCTGTTCCTCGTTCCTCGTCGTTTCGCTGTATACGTACTCTAAGGACGAACGAGGAGCAGAAGGAGGAGAGATTGTGGAACGCGGCGATGGCGGGGCAAGAAAGGGCAATTTACGGGCGGAGTAAAAAGATCGGAGCGGCGGATATTCGGGAACGAGGTCAGCTCGCAGCGGTCGCGATCCTGGCGAAGAGTTACGGGGAGATTGATCGGCGTAAATCGTCGCGGCGACGAGAGCGCAATTACGTTTTTGCGTGGCGCGTATTCGCTCGCTCTTTCTCTCAAAAGAGAGAGAGAAATAGAAAGAGAAAGAGAGAGAGAGAGATGGAAAAAGAGGAAGAACGTTCTCTATGGATCGCGCTGGAAACTCGGGCAGAGGGAAAGGAGCGGACCACGAGTTCGTCGCCGGCAAAATCTTCGGCAATTATACCGCGGGAATGCTCGCCGTTCCCGGACCAACTTGATACCCACCTTTCCTCCCCTGGCCGTGTTCTTTCGCTGCGCCGCGCGCGGATCAGCGTCGACGTCTCCAAATTGATCGACCGTGCCACGATAAAACCTCCTTGCTCTCGCCCTTTTTTCTTTAACCGCCGACGCGATAAGCGACCGATGAAGATTTGAATTGATAGCAGTCTGCTACAGGTGGAGACTGCGATAGGCGTTCGAGTGAGAAGGGGGCGTAATTTTTGGGCCAAGTTCTAATTTATTAGATCAACATTTGGTATTTTAACAATATGTATTTACACGACACGTAACGTGCACTCGCAGTTTTGGGAGAACTCTTGCAGATGCAATTGATATAAAATCTCAAATAGAGATACCATCGTAGTAATTACAAATATGTAAAGTAGTACTATTTTTTCCTTCTTATTTACAGCGTTACACTTATTAGTATTTTCTATATAAGTTGCGTCTCCGTGACATTAATGCATTAATCCATAACCGTTCATGTTGGAGAGACTTCCCCCACTATCCGAATCAAATCGAGTTGTTAACACGCGAACTTTGATCGAAAAGAAACGAACTACTTTCTTTCGCAATTGGATGGAGAACACGTTTTAGTAGAATGTGTGTATACTGTACGAGACAGTGGAGCAGCAACGCGTGGTCCAGCGTGCCAGACTCGTACGCCCTTATCTACTTGCACATGCGCAACTATACTCGCGATCGTTCTACAGCGTATTCTTCGTCTTGTTTCGCGATCTCCGGACGACAAATGATCGTCGTTTCATTTCCTTTCCCTTTCTACCGGCTCTAATGATCTAACGATCGGATCTAACGATCATCGGCCGAGAGGAAAAGTCGAAACGCTCGAGAGCCAGATATCCGACTGTAATTGCCGCTAATGTTGGCGAGACCGCCGCGGGGCGTGCTGCTCTCGCGTTTCTTCTCGGACTCGCGTTGAAATAATCGCGACCGAGTCACGGGCGAGTAAGCTGTTAGCGAGCAGAATCGCCGAGAGCGGGGCCTTGGTCTCGCGTGACGGACTGTCCGCGCCGATTGCTCGTTCGGCTCGACGCTCAACGGTAATGACTTAATGTCGACGCGTTGTAACAGTGTTGCGAACGGAGGTTGCCGCGTTTCTTCTTTCTCTTTTATTTTTTCCTTTTTCTTTTTTCTCCTTCTGAAAGTCGATGGTGGCAAGATCGAACGCGCAGCTTTCGTGCGCGTAACCGCGGCTACGGGGTTTCGACGAAAATAATTAAACAGCGCGGCCGGCGCGAACAGCGAAGCTACGGGATAAAAATAAGCGGAGCTGTTCGAAACCGCGCGAGTGGATCTGGCGCGTGGCTTTTACCGCTGATACCCTTTTACTCGACCCACCGATAAATCACCAGCTTATCGATGCTTTCTTGCATGTTTGTGCACTCATATACATATATATATATTTAGACGCGCGACGCGAAACATTTGAAAAAGGGATGCGCGGGTGGAGCTGTTCGAACGTGTACCGTTGGAACGAAAAAGTCGGAAGCGTCGCGATCTAACGCCGCTCGGGGCTCGATGCCGATCGAGTCGAGAAGGTGGGGCGGCGAACAGAAGAAGATGGTGGAAGAGGCGCGGCGAAACGAGAGGATCCTCGGCAGGGCGAGGAAAGGAGAGGAAAGGAGTGGAAAGGTGAGGCAAGGTGAGGCAGGGCACGGCAAGGTGAGGCGAGGTGAGAGCGAGATAGCTCGTAAATCTAAAGGCCGTGTTCAGAAGGAAGGAGGCTGAATAGGTGTAAATGAAGTTGCGGCCTGTGGCCCGCCGCAAACTCGACCGGACCACCCCGCATATTTTGTCTCCTGTGCGTGCTCGGTCCCACCGCCGCGCGCAACTAAATGCTTCTTCCTGCGTGCACGGTACCTACAGCCGGATACTCTTTGGTAACAACGTCGACTCGATGTTCACCGTGCCCACCTTCGTGTCCGCCTTCCACTCCTCGCACCCCCTCGATTCCAAGCTTTCGTCGACTAATCCGATTTCACGGACCGCAACGGGCGCGAGTACGCGCGTGAAATCGATTTTTATCGGATCCACGGCGAACGGTGAATCTGGAGGAAGTTGGAAGGCGACGACGAAGGAAGGCTCTCTTCCTCCGAAGATTCGCGACGCCAGGTGTTTGGAAGAAGAATTCAAGAGGCTCGCGGTCGACTGAAGATCCTTCCAAGGATGGATTATCTTAATATAGGTTAACGTTCATCCTCATTAACTAACCGAATAAACGGGTAACAAAAGCCCAGTGGGTTCGACAAACGCGCGGGGGTTCGTT